GTCTGTCTCCCCCTGCCTTTTTGCTTGAATGCATGCAAACAACTGTTGGCACCTGCCAGCAGCATGAGCTGATGTGTCACTGCAGAAGACTTGAACAGATAGGGGAGCTGCCTTCAGAAAACCGATTGGCTGTGGAATGAGACTGTCAGCTTTTACGTGTGGTTTGTCTTTTGGAAAAACCTAAAGAGTTTAGTCCTTTTAAGCAAAGCACTTAAGATTCTCCTGTCTCACTGAATTGTAAGGCCCTTTTTACTACAAATACATTCTGTGTTACTGTAAAAATATTGCAAGGAAAAGCTTTGTCAGTACTGTATTCCCCACTGCCCGCAAGTTTTTGTCACTATAGACTTCACTTCTGTAGAAATAGCTTTGTTTAAAAAGTTGAGTGATGTAAAAGAGCATATGGTCATTTTTCTTAAGCTGTGATACTGAATCTTGAAACCTGTTGTGTCCACTGTGTTCTTCCAGATGTCTTGCCACTAATTTTAAGGAATTTTAATGGTTGCTTTCTACTACCACCACATGTGGGATTTAAAATATTCAGTAAACTGTCAAATAATATCATAATTTGTAAAAGGGGGATTGTATATAGGCAATATATGGCTTAACTTTACGAAAACCTCATTGTGTTACTCTGTCAAACTCTGTCTTCCTACCTATGATAATAGGATTTGGCAGTCTACACTGAAACAATAATTTAAAATAAAACTACAAAAACAAACTCCAGCTGAGCACTGGTAGATGTTCCTCTGAAGTATCTTACTGGCTATGTAAGCCGAATTAAAGTTTTTTTTAAAAGCTGTTAAATACAGTATGTATTGGGGAAAAACATACTTTATGTGTTTTTTGTGAAAGTGTGGTCAGTAATTTTCAGTGAAGAAAATAATTTGTGATGTAAGACTCTTGAGGGGTACATCTCACAGTGGAGGAGAGGAAGAAGCTGAGCAGCTGTTAGCTTTGCACAGTGCATGCAGCTCTGCTGGGATAGCTGTTGTAAAGAATTTTTGGACCTTAGAAATCGTCTGGGGTTCTTACCTGAAACTTTAACCCACTAATGGCGTGGTAGTCCTTTTTGTGTTCTGCATCTGGCTACCTGAGACTCCATTCCCACTGGAGCAACCGTGTCTACATACACAGCTCCTCATCTGGATGCAGTGGGGGGAGGGGGGTGACAGTATCTGGGGCTGAGGTCTTCCACACTGGCCATCTGTGGAGCGCTTCTCTGGGTCCCTGGCAGCCCAGAGTCTCCTGTGAGCATGCCAGGAGCTTTGCTGTCTACATGAGCTTTTGATAGGACGTTGAATCAGAGACTTCAGACTTCTGAGGATCTCATGTGGCAAGATGAAACACCCAGGGTGATGAGAGCCCACCTGGCGTTCAGAGACAAAGACGGCAGACTGTGATGCGCTCAGGCACAGGAGAGCTGCTGGTGAAATTCAAGTCAAGCTCTAGGTGTGCCTGTGAGAGTGTGCACAGGCAGACTTCAGAGCTCCAGTGTGGGCCCCTTCAGTAACGGGAGATCTCCTTGCCTTCTACTCCAAGGGCCAAAGCATGTGGTTTTTATCTTGCCCTTCCCAATAATGTACCTACGTGATGTGCATGTTTAGCAAAATACTGCATCCTCTTTTCGGAACAAGCGTCCCAAAACAATACGTTTCATAGTGCGTACTCTGCCCTCTGCGTGGGGTGTAGCACTAAGGGCTGAGCAGCGAGTTAGTTGTTCCGTAATGTGTTACAAAAAGTAATTGGGTGCTTTAATGAGCATGGTCAAAAAAAATCTGTGTCAAATCTTCAAGCACACTGCAATTCCACACTTAATTTTTCAAATGGGGTGTGAGAGTGGTGGTATTCATTAAAATGGAAAGACAGAAGTGGTGTTTGTCAATTCAGGTTTTGCAGAGGGCTAGTTGCTTCTGATTCTGACAGGGAAGAGTAGCTTTATACACCATGAGTATTTCCCTGAAGTAAAGAATGCCCTCCTGCTGCCAGAAAAATTACAGCTTGCTCTGCTTTCTTATCCCATCTCTTGTACTGATGTAGTATTTGTCTGTTCAGCAAGCTGATTCAGCTCACAAAACCAGTGGAAAGCTGCATGGTGGGTGGGTTTCCTCTTAGTTCAGTGAGCTGTGTTGGCTTTGAAGGGTCAGACATGTTAGAGATGTTTCAGAATGGGGTGTGGGAGTGTGTTGAGAAAGAAAGGCAAAGGTGAGAGGCATCTGAATTTTGGCAGGAGCAAGCTGCTAAATTGGCTTTGGCAAATGAACCTTGCCCCTTTCCCTGTGCCTGCTTCTGGACTTGGTCCTCCCATGTGCCATTTCCCAGGTCCTTATGGTGTGGGGGTGTTTGGTGATTTTTAATCAGTTGCTTATCTAATGTAAGGAGAGTTTTCTTTTGCTTGTCCGTTTATTTCTGCTAATAGTAAAAGGGGAAAGATGTTTTTCTTACTACCTCTGTTTTGGGGAGCAGCGAGGGAAGCTAGTCTGTTTACAGAAGGCGCCCAGTCGCTTACTGATTGAGCTGCTGCGTATGAGGCTATGGAATTCGGGCTGAAAGCTTGCTTTATGTCTTGATCTACAGGCATTTCACGACCCCGGTCAGATAGTGCGCCACCCACGCCGGTCAATCGGCTGAGTATGCCCCAGAACACTGCTATCAACACCACTCCACCCCATAACCGAAGGCATCGGGCAGTGACTGTGAATAAAGCAACGATGAAAACTAGCAGTGTAAGATTTCATACCGTGTTTAAGTAGCTGAACCTTTTGATGGTTTCCTCTGTCAGAGGAAATAATTTCCTTGCTTCTAGGAGCTGACCTCTTCTTCTGTTCAAATAGGTAACTACTGCACATGCATCAAAAGTGCAGCACCAACCCTCCTCTACTTCTCCACTCTCTAGCCCAAACCAGACGAGTTCTGAGCCACGGCCGCTACCAGCTCCTCGCAGGCCAAAGGTTAACAGCATCTTGAACCTCTTTGGATCGTGGTTATTTGATGCAGCATTTGTTCACTGTAAACTTCATAATGGAATAAACAGAGACAGCAGCATGACTGGTAAATATTACTGAAAAATACACATATGCTTTTTTCCTTATTTTATTGACATTTCCTACCTGCAAGATTAACATATGCATAATAATAATTAAAAAAAAATAAATCTGAAGTGCTGTGTTGTGGTTAACCCCTCCCAGCTGAGCCAGCACCTGTTGTTAGTTGAGCAGGTGTTTGGGGGCTTTCAAATTCAGAATATCACTTTTTACTCTTAAACACTCCCTTGCTCTAACAAGCATGGCAGTTCCAATTATGCTAGTGGGGAAAATTTTATTAAGTGAAGGAAATAATGTGATTTTTGAGTCCACTTCCTAATTTGAAATCTGCTTGAGTGTCTCTGAGTAATAGCGACTTTTTATAGTGACTCTTTAATGTTTGAAAAATTGTCAAACATCACTCCAGATACTGCACAAAGTAGTACTTCTTGTTTTTGAAGAGTGTTATGAAAACAGAAATACTTAAAATAGCAAGTGGAGTTGCTGCCTTTCAGTGGCAGTTGCTATGTGTTTCCATATATGGCTTGATACCTTGGTTATCTTCAGTCCTTAACTGCTAGATTTATTTTGTCTCCTAGGCTTGGCCTCAGCTTTAGAGGTTAGATGTTCTGAGACGTGATTAGTGCTCTGCTCAGAGAGGCTTTTTATCACTCTTCTTTGTTTTGGTGCTAATATTCAGAAAAGAATAAACTTTCTCACTCCTTGCATTTTTCCTGTTCTTTGTGAAGTATTCTGCATGTCTGCTAAACTCTTCCAAGAGATCTGTGTATCGGGAGCTCACTGGCCTAAGTAGGAAAATAGGAGGAAGAGGTTTGTTGTAGCAAGTTGGGTTTATAGTGGGACTTGACAGCAGCAGTTAAACTTGATGATCTTCCTTGTTTGTTGTGTCTCAAACACCTGTGTGGAGGTGATGGATTTAGGATTTGGGATCTGTTAAAGGTATTTTTATGTATGCAGCACATGGTTCTTGAAAGTATTTCGTTGTAGATTCCTGTGGTAGGTTCAAGCTCCTCTGTAAAAGGGCCATGACACATTCCTAGAGAAATAGCTGAGCTTAGGAAAGAGTAAGGCCTAATTTGAAGGTATGTTCAGTTGCATATGTAGCTAACATTTCTGTATTTAATGCGTTTCAGAGGGATTGGGTCATTTTAATTTTTACATCACCTGTATCTTGAGCAATTTTAATGAAGTGTTTAACCTGAAAAGGGTGTCAGCTGGGATGCTGCTTATACAGCAGTGTCGGGTATAAGCAGAGGTGTTGTGGTTCTAGCAGAAGTATACAGTCATCCAAAATCAAAGTGATTGACTTCCTTGAAGGGGATCCAGGGCCTACTATTCATGTATGCAATGTCTTAAGTCACCTAAGAGAAAATTGTGATGTTGCTGGCCTTACTAGCTTCCTGAAGACTGGAACTGGCTGTTTGGAAATTGTTTGATTCTGTTCCTCCTCCATGCTCTCCAGAGCTGTCCATAGCGAGGTCAGTCTTTGCATGTCACATGTTCTGCCATTTGTTAGCAGCAGCGGGTCTGAGAGAATTACGTTGGTGGAGACCCAGAAAACTGACTGTGTTATGTCCTGCTTTTCTAGCAATTTGGAGGACAGAATTAACTTACAGAATTTAATCAAGTGTTTGCTGCCCTTCCAGGATGCTGTGTAAAGTACTGGTCACAGCAGGGCCATGGCAGGCTGTTGGAAGGAGAGTGAAATGGAGATGGACCCATACTGCCAAAACTCTGTAGAGAGGCACCACAGTCTGGCTGCCTGATTTATCCTTTTGGGTAAATCCTTTTGCTCAACCTCTGCTTTAGGTGGGGAAATGTAGCAAGACTTGTAAAGGGCTGGGCTCCTGCAGTTTCTGTTGACTTCAAGTATCAGGTTTAAGTTCAAATTGAAAGGCTTCCAGTTTTGGCGTCTATCTGTGAAGCCAGATGCCTCCAGGTGAAGTCTTTTCCTCCTTGAATAGTGTAAGGCAGGAGGTGCTGTGCTGGACTGATGAGGTGGGCCAGGAGGGTTCTGTGATGTGGGTCCCCTCCATCACCCAAGTGGGGCCCATCAGTAATAATCAGATCTGCGTCTTGTGCCCATCCACCTGCCTCTGCTCCTGCCACCCAGTGTAGATGTGGCTTGAAGAAAGAGGGCAGCCAAGAAGGGACGGTAGCTGCGACAGTCCCTACTCTTACAAAAGAGGACAGAAATCAGTCTGCTGCTTTTTGTCCGCAGGTTGGCTGTACCCGTGGGTCACGGTCCGTCTGCTGTCCTCTGTAGCCTGATACAGTAACACTTCTGCCACTAGCTTGAGTGTTCTTACCATGTTTGAGGCTGCTGGGGATAATCTTTGCATTAGCTTCAGGAAGCACTATTATTTTTATGAATGCTTTAGTTTCTTTATGATTGGGAAGGGTCTGCGCTTAAAATAAACTTTACTATGGAGTCTTGTCTTCCACTGGCCCCCACACAGTATTTTTCTGGGACTGTGTAAGATCTCAACAGTTTTAAACCCTTCTAATGTTTGGTTTGTTTCAATGCCACGCAGTTAAGAATTTTTTCTGTCATAGCTCTCTGATATGATTTCTCTGTCTCATTGCTGGCTGGAGGACTGAGGACCACTTTGAAAAGGAGAGAGGTGAAATATGTTGATACAGATTGCTCCTTGGTCCTGCAGAGAGATCCCCTGCCCTGGGCCACCTTTCTGGAACACTGCATTTTCTAGTGCATGTCTCTTACTCCTCTTCTGTCGTGTGACACATCCTCAATGAGAGCCCATCTGACGTGATTTCTAAAGAGGTATTCGTGAGCTAAATGCAAGTGTCTAACAAGTAACCCTGTGGATGAGCTGAGGTCTCAAGTTCTAGTTCAGAACTTGGTTCAGTTCTTTTAAACGAACGCTGCTGACTCACGTGGATTAGCACCTTGTCCTTCTCCCATCGTATAACTCAAGTTTTTGATAAGCTTTAGGAAGTAAAGAGTAGTTGATCAAGGCCAATGTGAAGGAGTACTTACCTACCCTTGCTTTTCTTGTCCTGGAGCTTCACATATCTTACTTCTTGAACTCTTGAATCTCCGGAAAGGAAGTCAAGAAAACTGACTGGTGGAAAAAATGTGCAGGTTTTTGTAGGTTCTGAGATGAAAAATATCTGAATGGGTGGAAGGGTAACCAAACTTGCGCTACTTGACCTTGCTTTGGGAGGGGGCTGACTATATAACCTCCAGAGGTCCCCTCCAGCCTCAGCTCTTCTCTGCTTCTGTCAATATAACTGCTGCCCAACTATTGTTCAGTTTTCGGTCATCTTCATTGGTAAAGTTCTCGTTCCAATGCTTGCGCAATTCAAGATCATCGTGGGTATTTCACATCTGTGGTTGCTGTGTTTTTTTCTGTCCCTCTTTGGGAAGAGAGAGAATTGTTCTCTTCCACAAGATTAGCTGGAGGCCATCTGTGTATGGCTGAGGGCTGGTGGAGTTTCTCACCTGGGAAGCAGTCTTCCTGTTGTTGGTGTGATGCTTTTGTGCCTTGAGTGTTGTTTATCAGGTTTTAGTTTCTGCACGGAGACCTTGATTGTGAAGCTTTATGGCTTTATGGCTTTATAGCAGGCAGCTAATGAACATTACTCTGTATTGTGGTAAAAGAGGAAAAATGATGTGTTCAAAAAATGTACAGTTGGTTTGAAAGGAGCTGGATCCTGCTGTTGTAGTCTTTAGCTGCATGGTGTTTATTTAGGTGTTAGCATGGCATAAATAGCTGCCTATGATTGGTACTTGAGAAAACGCTTTCATATGAAATCTGCTGTCAAGCCTTTATGAAGTTGACGCTCACTATGACAGCTCTGGGCTGTGTGTACATGTGCCGAGTGTAGTTTCATTGGCAGGATGTGTTTTGGTTAGACAAGCTTGGCCATGGGATGCGTGCTGTTGCTGTCCTCAAGGACTTGTGAGAATTGGGAGGGACACATGAATACCTTGTGCCAGCATTTCAGCAACTGAATCTTCCTGTCTGTGGGCTCATTGTTAATCCTTTTACCTAAAGAAGTCCATCACAGGCCTGCCAGCTGTGTGTGTTCCAGCAGCTGAAGGTCTTACCTGGGCGGGTCGCTGCTATCACCCAGGCGCTGCTGGCGGTGGGGGGAGTCTTGGGGTATAGTTTTACCTTCATCTCTTCTGGCCCTGCTGTCATTAATATTAATGTCCCAGAGAATGTTTCTGGGGGTCTAGGAGCAAACTCTAAGAAGCCCCAGTTAGGGACATCTTGAGTCTTGCTGAGGGGCTTGGTCACAGGTCTTGATCTGACCCTGTGCATTCAAAGCAGCAGCTCTTAGGAGGTGGTGGCATTCTCTGACTGGAGTCTTTCCTCTCTGTGCTCTCTGGAGATTGTTTTTGAGATGTTGATATTTCTGGTAGAGTTCTGCCTTTTTATTTTTGCTTTGGAAGATTGTTAATTGAGCTGGGAGTCAGGGGACGATGCCTGGGTCTCCTGGGTGTTAGCAGTTTGGCTTAGGGAAGACAGAGCTGTAATACCGTCAGGAGTGTTGCAGTGGGCAGCCTCTGCAGGTAAGTAACCTTCCCCCACAGACATGCCCCAAGTCGCAGAATCCTCAGGATAGCCTTTTGTATGCTGCATATACAGGGCAACGTAGGGACGTGCATTTGAGCTGGGAAGGGTTAATACATCCATTTAATGAACAGATGTACATTGATATGAACAGCTCTAAATCTTACTAGTATTTTGTAACTTTTTGTTCATTGTTTTGCATGGTACTTTCAAAACCATAATTTTGGACCTGAATGCCAATTTCCTATGTGTTTAACGAGCTTGCTGTATCATAAAGCTTTTAATCTATTTTTTAAAAAAGCTAAAAGCTTCTTAACTTATATTACAATTTCACCATCTTAAAAGTATTTTATAACTACTGCTGTCCTTTGATTTGTTTCCATTTTATTTCTATTATCTTGCAGCATCTTTTATCCAAATTCTTCTTTCTTATAAATCTTGTAAGTAGGAACCAGTAGCTTTTCCTTGATTGCGGTCATGCTTTACTTTTTCCATAATCCCATATTTTATTTGTAAATTCATTCCCATTGTCTTTTGTAGCTTTTGCACTTTTACTTGAAAAAGACAAGTAATTTTTTTGTGTGTGTTTTTGAATGGGGAGGATTGTTGGCAAAAGCAAATTAATCTGCCTGAATCAGTCCCATCTTTTCTGTACTTTAGTCTGTGATCATGTCATGAGTTTCAGGACTTTGCACTAACCATGTTTTTTTTACTTAAAGCTTATTTTACAGACCTAGTGTTTGATTTGTATGCGTTGTGCATGTAGTGTTTTTTTTCCAACTACGATATATTGCTGGATAGCTTATTTAGGACAAAAAATGGCTCATGGGAAGATGCATAAAGATTTGTGCTTATTTGCTACTTATGTCATGAAAATTTGCAAGGTACAGTAGGTTAAACGACGAATTTAAAGACAAAAATTAAGAGTAGACACTTGTCATTAGGATGTTTCCTTTAAAAAACCAACCAAACAAACAAACAAGCCCCTATCCAGAAATCAACAGTATTCCAGCTGTCGAAACGTTAACGGACCTTTGTTTGCAAGACTAACTGTGAACCTGATGTTCCCCAGTGTCCCAGGCTTGAGATAGAGGCAGTTCTCTGGTCCTGGTAGAATGATGTTGGCGTGATTCTGTTAGGAGCACGCATTAAGTGTTGCTTGGTTTTATAGCTTATAAAAGTTTTGAAAATCAATATAGTCTTAGCTAAAAATAAGAAGGATCGTACTTTTTCTGCTGTTATCAAAGAGTGAGGTTGTCCAAGGAAAAAAGGAAAAAAAAAATTACATTGAGAGCAATATATCTTTTTTGGTTGCCTTCCTGGCAGAAAGGATGAAGGCAGCCAAGTGAGTAGCCTCCTCCATCGTATGCACGTGATACTGATGTGTGAAAGGCAGACCAGAACTCTTTCTAGAAGGACATGAATTTAACTGGCTTGGACTGGCAGAGCCGTGCTGCAGGGAGGGAGCACAAAGCTCGGCTGAACCACATCCCATTTAGGTACAGCGTGTTCCCAAGAGACTTCTGTGGAGCTTGTTGTGGGATAGGGAGTAGGAGGGGGCCAGCCTCCCTGGTAGCTGCTGTCGGGAGGCTGTCTAGCCTCAAATTTATTTGATGATTTCGGTAGTCCTGTGGGGAGACAAGGACCAAATCAGGAGAGTGGGTTTCTGCAAACTTCTCTTTCTGATATGAGTCTTAAGAATTTTTTGATACATTTTTTATTTGTTTATATAAGAAAATTGGATCAAAGCAGCTTGGTGTTCAGAGCAGCATAAGAGATTAGTGGGCCAGCTGAAAATTAAGCACTTGCTTGGAGGTCACAATAATGGCACCATCTAAATGTTTTTTGGTATTTTAAGGTAGCAAGGCAAGGTGGTACTTCATTTTTCTGGAGAGGAGAACTAGTGAGGGAAGGTCCTTGTCCTCCAGAGGAGTTAAGAAGCTGGTATTGGATGTAAACATACTCTTCCCAGCAGAAAGTTGGGACAGGCTCTAGAATATGAAAGTCAGTTGTTGTCATCCTTATAAAGAAAAAAGTTACACCCACAAATACTCTCTAAGCAGACACACTGACTCAAATACAGTGAACTAACGGCTTCATGATGACTACTAAATTTGACTTGATCTTTGTGTCCAGGATCCCATGAGCCTATTACATACATTAACACACACAGTGAAATGCTGTTTTTTCTCTTCCCAGCTATAGCAACGCAAGCTAGCGTGGAGTTTCGCCGGAAAGGATCACAAATGTCCACAGACACAATGGCTTCCAACCCCATGTTTGATGCGAGTGAATTCCCAGACAACTATGAAGCGGGAAGGGCAGAGGCGTGCGGGACACTGTGTAGGATATTTTGTAGCAAGAAGACTGGGGAGGAAATATTACCAGCTTACCTATCCCGGTACTAACCTATCTTCCAGTTGCTTTATTGGTATATTTACGGTGCAAATGAATTCACAGTGAATAGCATTCAGTTACTGTCTGAATCCTGTGTGGCCAATTCAGAAAACCCTGGTTAGCCTCCAGATGCTACAGGTGGGGATCCCTGGCTAAACTGAGTAGTGATTTCCTTCTGTCTTCTTGTCATGCTGGTTTTCATTGGGTTTTCTTCAAGTACTAGTTGAAGGGAAGTCCGTTGAATTGCCTCCCAGCAGGAAGGAACATTGTCTTTTTGATACTTTCTTGCCTCTTGTGTTCTTGTTTGTTTTTTTTAACTTGTCGGGTGGAAAAAATAAGTGTGCAGGTGTGAGACTTTGTACACTTTATTCGACCATGAAGGGTCTTGCATTGTCAGACACCTCAGCACTGGGATGGAAAGTGCTTGTGGTTTGGCTTTTTTTCTTTAAATATAGAAATGCACTAATATTTTGGTATTTAAAACAGTTGTGTTCTGAACTACCTCTGTTTTCAGTTTTGTTTCTAGTAAATAAGGCAATTTTGCCTGTCATAGAGTACCTTTTTTTCCAAATTTTTGTTAAAAAGAGAAATAGCAAAGGCTAGAGGCAGAGAATCAACTTTAAATCATGATTCTCTCAAAGTGCTCAGGTACATTTGTCCCAGATGGCATCAAAACTTCTTGGAGGACTGAACTGTTTTTTCTTGCGTGTTGCAGTGTTTTGTGTATAGATTGTTCGTGTTTCTCTTACCCAGTCAGTGAGATTCCTTTGTGTTTGCAAGCCTTTTAAAAAAATATAATAACGGGGATGTAAGTATTCTCCAACAAAAACCTGTAAAAGAAAGTCCCTGCTTTAGGATGATGGCCAGCTAGGTTCCTGCCCCCCCCTTTTTCATTTGAACCGGGTATGGTGGTTATGTTTGGTCTCACTTTTCCCTATCACTGATCAGTGTGTCCTGTCCTGTTCCCCCTCCCCTAAAGGATTTCATGGTGTTTTTCCTGTGTTGGGAAGTTAAAGTCAAGGTCTCCCACCCATTCTTACGTGGGAGAGGGAGTAGTGGGAGAGCACACGACCTAAGCCCTGTTATAACCCTCTGGGCTGTATTTGCACAGCTTCCAGCCCCTGTGTTGCACAAGTCAGAGGTTTCGGTAAGACTGTGCTGCACTGCCTTCTCTGGTGAAACACATCCCCCTTCTTGTTAGGCTCCTTGGGTGCGCTTGCCTGTGCTGAAGTAGCTTGTGGCGGGATGCTCCTGTAAACATTTTCTAGCTCTGATTTTGAAACCTACTCTATTTTGTATAGAAAAGATCAAATAGTGGCTGCGTATTCTTGTTCATGTGGGATGCTGATGCTTTTTACGTGCAAATAAATTAATCTTATCTTTCTTTGTCAGATTTTACATGCTTTTAATTCAGGGTTTGCAGATAGCAGATTTCGTTTGCCACCCCGTTCTTGCCAGTGTTATTCTAAACTCCCCTCCTTTGTTCTGCTGTGACCTGAAAGGGATTGATGTCGTCGTTCCTTATTTCATTTCAGCTCTTGAGACAATTTTACCTGACAGGTAAATTACTATTTCCTTGTAAACATCATCATAAACAGGGGGGGGGGGATTTATCTTCTGGCATTTCAGTCATTCCAGAGTAGTTTTCACTGAAGGAGTTCTATAATGTGGGCCCCATAGTGTGTATGTATTGATGGTGATAATAGTGCCACTTCATAAGCTCTAATTTTCAATTTTATTTAATGCAATTTTCTTTAAAGCAATAGTAGAGCTTATTTTAAATTAAATATGTGAGTTGTGTTATCTACATATTCATTGATGGAAAGCAGTATGTGTAAGAATAGGGAAAAGGAGTGATTTAGCTCAAATATATTGAAAGCCTACTGATTTTTAAGTAAAATTTCACAGGATATTCCTTAGTGGCTGTTGCTGCGGTGAATTCATTAAGAGAGTAATCTCTTTCACATCATTAAATAGAAAAATTGATCATTTAGACAGGCTGGTGAAATTGGGGTAGGTTCTTAAACCAGAAAATATACATTCACTCGTCAGAGCTTTATTCTTCTGGATGTTTTGCTAAGTAGTGTAAGGCAATTAATAGTACTCCGCATACTTTCTTCCAGCATACATTTTGTGTCTTGGTACTGCATTTCGTTTTGAAGTTACGCGTAAAATATTATTTATCTTCTGGGCTTGAATCTGAGCCACTGCTTCTTTTGACTAGGCCTTAGAAGTAGAATTTGCTGGTGGCTACTGCAAAAAGTGGATCTCTTTGCTAAGCAGCTCGTGTTTTATGCAATATGCACATGAGCCTGTTCTGCGGATCTCTGACAATCCGGGGTGGGTTTGAGTTGTGATAAGCCAGTAAAACCCCATGACTGAACCTTCCTGCTGTGAAGATGCACTATACAAATAATAATTTCATCAGCTCGTTGCTTTTATGTGGGGTACAGAATTCTCAGCAAGTGATGATTCCTGCATGAATTCATTGTGTTACTGCTGCCATTAAAAAAAAAAAAATAATCCTGAGCCTAGGAAGAAACAGCTGCATGATGTACTGCAAATTATTTAAGACCACTGGGTGGCTGTATATTTCATTTTAACTTAATTAAGTTCCTGTGAGATGTTGATTAACTGTATGATGCTTTGATTTGCAGAGAACTCTCAAAGTTTAAAATCTATGTAAACCCCACAGAGCTAAGAAGAGCTTCGATTAACATCTTGCTGTCTCTGTTGCCTCTCCCTCATCATTTTGGAACCATAAAGTCTGAGGTAGTAAACTTACCATTTCGTTTTGTGTTTCCATTTTTGTTTTCCTGATTGTTCCGCAGTGGGGTTTGGATGACTTGCGGGTTGTATCAGGTGTTCTGTTTAGCACTGAAACTCTGACAGCAAGTCTGTAACAGTATGACTGTATTGCAGGTGGCCATGCGCAACGCGTGCCGTGGATATTAACTGTTGAAACCAATACCGTGCTGGTGTGATCTCTAATTGATACTGAAATAAATGTATTTTTCCTTCAGGTTGTGCTGGAAGGGAAATTCAGCAATGATGACAGCTCAACATATGATAAGCCAGTAACCTTCCTTTCCTTGAAGCTGAGGCTTGTGAATATACTTATAGGAGCTTTGCAAACAGAAACAGATCCCAACAACACTCAAATGATACTAGGTAATTTCAACTTTTTTATTTAACTGCGTTACAGAAATGTCTGTCTTATTCTGTCCTGGAGTAATACGGGTTATTAGTAATGCATTGCTTTGTAAGAAAAAAGATGAAAATCCTAGCTGTATAATCACCCTTGTACTGTGAAAACATCTTGAAAAGCCTCACATTTTTGTTAAAGTAATCTCTTTTTACAGATGTGGAATAGTACTTGAAAAGTAGAAACAGAAATAAAGCACGTTCTAGCAGGAAACGTCGATCATAAGTAGGAATGAAAATAGGAAAAAGTGGTGGTTTAGTGTTGGGAAGGATTTATAACTAATTGGTTACAGGGAACACTTTAGTTTTGGATGTGATTAAGCCTAGAAACAAGTGGAACTACTGGGTGACTGGTCATCCAGCACTGGCAAAATACAGGTGACATTTGTTTAGCTCTGTGTGAATCTTGAGCTTGGCAAAAACCCAGAAGCTTTGGCATAGAGTCTGGAGATGCATCATAGTTTGGCAACAAACTGTTCTTTGAGGTAACGAGTGCATTAACGTTATTTGGAATACTCGGAGTAAGTAGAAGCTGAAAACTTGTATAGTACCTAATCTGTCACATGAAATATCTTTTCAGACAAGTAGAAAATGTACTTGCCTTTTTACCCCTGTACCACCCCTGGCCCTTCCCCTCCCCCACACCCTTCGTTTTCTCTCTTTTGAAGTGTCTTTTTCCACGTTACGGTGTTCTCGTCTGTCGGTGATTACAATACCACTTCCCTCTTGTCTGTTTAAAAAGGAAGCAGGCTTGTGCTGCGGTGGGAGGCGTCTGCCTTGTTCTGGGAGACAGAGAGCCTACCTGATTGATGGGGGAGGGCGGGAAGGTGGCGTGAGCAGTGAAGTAAAGGGAAACAAATCCAGTCTGCGAAGACTTTCAGAAAGGTTCCTTGCAGTGGTTGAAATAGTTCCTTTAGTAGCAGAACACTAGAGGAGAACAATGTGAAAGAATGATTTGCAAGCGATGCTGGTGAAGGGATGAGGGTATTCATGGTTTCAAAGTGATCCTCCAAGCGAGACCCACAGTGTGTGGGTGCACAGAGGGTTGCACCACCCCTAGAACCGCAGGGCAAGGCTCTGTTCAATCCTGCCCAGGCGTCCCTGTACCCCTCCACTGCCGGTTGGTGGTTGACCTGGCTGGGTAGATGCTCTGCCTTGAATGGTTTGTTACCATTACTGTTTCCATGATAGTCCGTGCCAGTCCACCTCCCCTCTATTCCTGTTGTTAAACTCCTGTTTCTGTATGTGAAGTTATTTCCTGCTGGATTTGGTTGGAGCGGGTTCTTGAATCTCCTGTTTAGTCAGAGATTCTCAATGTGCCACCAGCTTCTCAACAAAACCAATGCTTGCTTCCAGGGGCTCGCTAAATGTTTGACAGTGGTACATTTCTCGTCATACAGCAAGTGCTGTTTTCCTAAACATTCGTTGCTGGGGGCAGGGCAGAAAATTAAAAAGGGTGTGTTGGTGTCAGCCTGTTGGGGGGCTGTGTCCTCACAGCTTCTTTCCCCCCTCACCCGGGGGCGGTGCTGCCAGGCAGCCCAGGCTGTTCGCACGGGCTTAACTAAGGCACCCAGGGGGCATCAGCAATTTCAGTTTAACAGTGTCTTACACTTGTGCATGATTCTGTCTCCCAAGATGGAAGAGGAAACTGCTGCTGGCTAGTTTGGATGCAGGAGGGATGGCTACCCCTGCAGTAGTGCTTCAGCTTTTCCAATATAGTATTTTAGGCACTGATGGAAAACAAAGCAGAGAAAGTACGAGGCTGGGGATGACCTCCAGGTAGAGAGAATTTCAGTGTATCCCACCTCAGATTATGAACTGACCTCCTGATTTAGGACATTGGTTTTGTTTTAGCCAAATTGAAATGAAATCAGTTTTTAATTTGCTTTGCAAACCCACAGGTTATCAGTGATGCAAATATTAGCCTTGATTTATTCCCCACTCTGCCTTTTGGGGCAAGGACAGAAATGTCTTTATGAAAATGAAACTCCCTGTGTTACAGTTGTAACATTTCATTGAGAACAGGCGTGGTCCCTTGTGCTGATGTCTTAAGGGTTGCTGAATGGACCCGACATGATTCACTTTATCTTCCAGCATGTTGCTGTATGTTCTGGTTGTTCATTAAGACTTTAAAACATGCTTTTGTTTGCCAGTGACCAGCTGTGTTTTGGTTCCTAATGGCCAAACAGGGGAAGGGAGCCTCTGTACCAGGCGAGAATGTGGCCAAGGCCAGCACTGTATAACCCTGGAAGTGGCTTTGGACTACGCAGCTCGTTTCAGTTCTCTCTGTTGTCTAACAAATACTGTTCACAGAATCAGTAGATATACTTAAATGTAACCTAAGTTTTTAAATTAGCACAATCTGATGGGAGATGAGGAACGATTCCACCCTTTTGGTGAAACTAGAATCCTTCTGAACTGAGGAATTTGGCAAACCTATGTTCAAAGCATTTTTAAAATAGCTGAAAGCACTCTCTATCTCAGCTCTCATCTGCTTCAAATGGCTAAGCCTGAAGCAAATCCTGTGTTTTATAAAACTCTTCCAAGGAGTTATAAAACTCTTTATAAAAGTTTTTATAAAACAGGATGGCGATCCTGTATGTTAGACCTTCAGTGCTTCTTTGTAAATTTTAGCAGTGAATATTCTACTGTGGTCCTTAGTTACCTCCTTATGTCTGATTCTTCAGGTGCAATGCTAAATATTGTTCAAGATTCAGCACTGTTAGAAGCCATTGGCTGTCAGATGGAAACGGTAAGTATTTCTTGCTTATGAAGTTACCACTTCAGAAGGAATGCACTGCTCCTTGTATCTGCTCTTGTAAGCTGCTCAGTTAGCATCTTGAGGTTTGATCTTTTTTTTTTTCTCTCCATTGTATCTGAGAGCATCTTCTGGTATAGGGAACTCTACTCAGAAAAATCTTCTCATCGCTCAAAACTGACTTTCAATTTGCAGAACGGTGGTGAAAATAACCTCTTCAAAAGCCACAGTCGTACTAACAGTGGCATTAGCACTGCAAGTGGAGGTAGCACGGAGCCCACCACACCAGACAGTGAGAGACCAGCACAAGCCCTTCTGAGGGATTATGGTAAGGATAGCACTTTAGAAAAAACTCTGTCATTGTATGCCAGGGTGATGGGTTTGTTTGTTTTTTTTTTTCTGTTCCTAGTTCTGGCTAATACATTAATGTGGTTGCGTGTTTTGAACCCAGGGTGGATAGCCCCTTTGTTTATTGCTGGTTTGTGCTCCTATGTGCCCTTTCGGTGATTGTTTTTTAATCCTACTAAAGGACTCTGTTAACATTTTAGAAATAAGAATGTAAAAGCTTGTAGAAAAGGTGTTTGCAAACTGCTTGACTTTAGCTAATGTTTTCAAGACACTGAGCTTTCATGAACGATAATGGGATAAATACACCAAGTGTAAATGAATGGCTTCGTTCATTTTGGTAGTATTCCAAATGCTTACCGGAATTTCGCAGCACCTTTTCTTAAACTGTCTTTAAAGAGCATTTGAGGGACTCCTGTTTTTTATAGAGCCAGTAAGTAAGCAGAATGCTTGTGATGTGTCATTTGTTATAACAGGACAGTTTAGTAATTAACTTCCGCTTGCTATGTCTTGTACCGTGCATTTTTGAATCCTTGTAATAAAATCCATGTTCTTCTAAATCTGTCTGGGGTAAGCTGCCCAAGGGTCAAGATTCTGGAATTTCATTTGCCCCTTTGGTCTTCATCAGTTTAACTGCTGTTGACCAGTGTGAGAACATAGCACATTTATTGTGCTGTAGCCTAGGTTGACAACTCTGTTCTCGCCAGCCAAAAATGTGGGGGCTTTTTGGTGAGTTTTTTTTTTTTTGTTCGTTCTGTAGGTAAGGAAAGGAGGGACATTAGCAGGAAAGACTTGAGTATATTCTAGGGGTTCACGTAAGTATATCGATGCTTTCCCTACAGGATTTGTTTGTTTGAAGTTGTTGCAATGCTAGTTTTCAGCACACTATTTGAATTGAGTGTTTAATTCATGTGGATTTTCATGTACAAGTTCTTGTAAAAATACCCATTTATAAGGTTAAAAAAACACTTTTAAATATTTGACTTATTGAGTCTTTAAACCATGACATAACTTGAAAGATATTTTTGTAATGTATTCAATTTATTGGTGTTTTTTTTAATTTCCTATGCACGGAAGGTAGGATTGTAAGAAATTTATGAAAAGGATTTCTGAGTTTCTGCTGGATGCTTCACACAAGAGAAAATTGAAAACAAGATAGTCTATTTTTACTGTTTAGCTGTAGCAGACACTTGAATCTGCTACTAGTATAATGTTGTACTTGACTCTTGAGTGTTAAATATGAGATTTAAGTTTTGGGAAGGATATACCTTAGCTGTTGTAGTTCTCATGTCTCTCTATAACTAGTCATTTAGCAGTTTTTGTTTCTGAAATTAATGTGCCTTCTTCAATTTTAACAAGTGTCTATAGTATTTATGTTCCTCATATTTTGGAATGAGAACAAGTGATACTAAAAACATTTTCTATTTTTAATTTTGAGCTAGAAGTTCAGGGAAATTAAAGGTCTAGAAATAATTGTATTTTTTGTTCTCCAGGACTTATTTTTTTTGTTATCTACATCTGTCTAACTAGTAAAACTTTGGATAAACGCTAGGTGTAGAAAGAATGGGTAACTTCTGGCATAGATATCTGAAGTTTCATGCACTGTTAGTACTTGGATATTTAGGCATCAGTAATGTACTAATGTACTTATACATTACCTATGCCTAAATTTTTCTGAGACTACAAGACATCACAGCAATTTAAGTACAATAGCAAGCCTGAAGCTAGCTGTTCTGCTCCTGAAATGCAGCAGAGTGCTGGGGTTATCTGAAAGGTCTTTTTTAAAAAAAAATTAAGAATTGAGATGGGGTAATCTGAATGATTTATATGTCTTGTGGTGTATATAAGGTAGTTAGCCTGTGCAAAAGTGACCAACCCAATTTCTAGATTCTGGGTTACGTATAGTTTTCTTTTATGTGTGTATTGTGGCTGCTTTGGCTTGTGCCTGTGCTTTGCTTATTGTCACTAATGCTTAGTTATTTTCCCTCCCTGTGGTATGTGGTATCGGGGTTATATCCTAGCTCTTAATACAGATACCGCTGCTGGGCTACTGATACGCAGTATTCACCTGGTAACCCAAAGACTCAACTCACAGTGGAGGCAGGACATGAGTATCTCTCTGGCTGCACTGGAGCTTCTGTCTGGACTGGCAAAGGTAAGAGGGGGAGTTTTGTGTGCTCTGGTCTCTTCTCGAGGGGTGATTATAGTCCTGTTGAGGTGAAAGTCATGCCACCAAACAGGTCGTCCGTGTCTGAGTTTGTCAGCAAGTGTTCTGTTTGGCCACGAGAAAACACAGTTCTCCTTTAGTACTTCATCTTCTCCTGCTGCCAGCGCTCTGTGGCTCAAATGGCGTGCACTCTGTAAGTGCCTTTGGCTGAGAGGGAACCGCAGGGTGGCTTGGTCAGCCGCACGTGGCGCTATGGTACGATTCTGGCTGGCTTTGTTGAGCTAGCTGAATGGCTCCCAGCCTTTCTCATGGACTCCCATGTGTGGCTGGTGGTGTTTTCTGTTCTGGTTTTTATACAACAGGGGATGCATCTGCCATGTTAGGTTGCACCGTTGAGGAAAACCTTGCCGCTAAGCTTCCAGTGGCAGTGCAGGGGACTGGGCCGTTAGTTTTCATCCCCGCTGTGAACCATTTCTCGTAGCATTGCTTGGTCAGGTGGCCAGTCTGTCTGCTCACTGTGACCAGACATAGACACAAGAGGTTTTGATGCTGTTAGATGTCAGATTGCAAATACGCCAGGGTATTAAACAACTCAATTGCCCTTTTTATAAGTGTTGTACCTGCTTTTCCCCTTCTATTTCATCTTAAAAACAGTTTTCTGAGTTTAGAAAATGATACCATATTTATAATACGAAAGTTTTGCCTTCTTCAGAGCTTTATCTGCATGCAAATCCTTGATTCAACAGCAAATAACTGAACTAAAGCTACTGGGGAGGGGGGGCACTTTTTTGTTGAGAGGTAAAATGCTCTTTTCTGCTTGAGGGCTCTTCTTCCCCAGCTGAACTTCATGATGTTTGTTAAGCAGAAGTCCGGTGTATTTACAGCAGCCACGATGACCTGGCGTGACAATTCAGCATTTCCTGTCATATTCCCCCAGGACGTCCACAGATCTCTCTGAAATACATGTCTCAGGCATTTTTTTAGTGTGGAGTCAGCACTGAGCCGTGTTGGACTGGATGCTTATTTTATTACTGCAGCAGCATGAGCTGAAAGATGCATTTGAAAGTGTTTTGCAATGAATTAATGTATGGTTATTGGGTCTTACAGAATGTCATAGAGAGCCAGGGGTTTCTGCAGCTTATGTGGTTAAGCCAGGTTTTGGGTTTGGGTTTTTTTTTCCTTTGGCTTGTAGTGAAATGGGCATGTGAAAATACATTATCTTTTCAAATGCCTACCCAGGTTAATATTAAGTATAATAATCCTTGTATAACTCTCATGCAACTGAAGTGATTTTTCCCTCTGGGACATCTTGGCTATCTTTACCCTTTGTAACAAAGAGGGTAGGAAGAGGTCACCTCTTACTGCAGAATTGCAGAGTGGAGAACTGGTTTTGTGTGTGCCTTTGCAGGTGACCATTCCCAAAGCCCCCCTCAGGTTAGAGGCTGCCCTGTCTTGTGTCTGTTCAGCAACAGGTTATTAGTGGGACTTGGTAAATTCAAAAATCCTGTTTCCTGCAAGAGTGCTGGTTTACCAACCTGTCTTTCATAAGCTCATCTTGAGGGGGCTCTCTTTGCCATAGATTTTTACGCTTCTGCAGGAAATCTTGCCTTCATCCTAGGGATCTGAGTTGTCACCCCTCCCTCTGTGGAGTACAGCTGCCTGGCTCCGGTGTTGTCACCAGTGAGACCATCCACCACTCTGTGGCATGGTCAAATGGTACAGAGTAGAAAAATCCAGCTTTGACTGTTCCTGTGCCAAGTCACAGGTTGGGAAGAAAAGAGAAGAGCAATTCAGTTCTGTAGTTAGTTCTATAATGCAGATCCTCGTGCCTCAGTGTCCAGGGCTCTTCCCTAGCCCTCCGGTCTGCAGCCTTGCTCCCTGAAGCCCTGAGGAGGGAGAGAAGCTGAGGGGTTTTTGCAGTGAGTTTTTTGGGGGGTTTTGTGCCAATCTGCTTGTCTGAGGAAGGGTTTTCTCCGCCTTTTTTCACTGGTGAAAGTTACCGTGCTGACAAAATATACCTGGTGGAAACTTATGTGGGCAGAATGAAGCCCCATGGAAGGGAGGCTTGGCAGTGAGTGGGTTCTCAGAGGTACAGAATGGGTTGCTATAGCTGAAGGAGAGAGGTATTTGCTGAGAATAAGTTTCAAATACTCATTTATTCAGCTTGCAATTGGTTTCTTACCAAACCATATTGGTACCACTCTCGCTCTTGGAAATGAAGCCATACAATGTGGTGGCACCTCAATGTAGCATTTATTTCCTTGAAGTTTCAATATCCATCACTGTTAAATGTTTTTACCAGCAGCTTTTAAGCTGTAATCATAAGAGCTCAACCATTATTCCTGTTTCTTACAACTGCATTTAAAAATGCCTTTAAAAACTCTTTATTCTCGGAAAGATTTTTGTGGAGGAATTCTTACCCTCTCCTGCTTGCTTCACACAGGTGAAAGTGGTGGTAGATTCCTCCGATCGGGAGAGAGCTATTAGTTCAGTGTGCAGCTACATAGTGTACCAGTGCAGTCGCCCAGCCCCGCTCCACTCCCGCGACCTTCACTCCATGATAGTCGCAGCTTTCCAGTGCCTCTGTGTCTGGCTCACTGAGCACCCCGACATGCTGGATGAGAAGGTGAGAGTCTCCTGTGTGTGTATTTTGAGCACTCCAAATTGTAATGGCTTTCATGCCCAACCTGTCTGTTCTTGGTCCTTTAAAATAATGTGGTTTCCTTAGTTTTCAAAAGCATACTGGGAATTTCAAAGCTAGTTTGTGTGCAAAATAGTTTTGAATTTTGTTTTCTGCTCTTTATTCACCAAGAATGGTTTTGGCTTTAAAATTACCTTTCATATTTCTAAGAATGTCTTAATCTTCCTTTTTGCTTTGTGAAGCTGGAAAAAGAGAGAAGAAAAGAGAAACTGAAAAAAGAAATATAGAAACCAGTGGTGTATATATAGCATAGCTACCTGCTGCAGATACTTCACTAAAAGCCGTGTCTCTTCTCACTTCTCAGTTCTTACCTGACTAAAGCATCCTCTAGACTTCATAGAATTCCTTTGATACTTGTATTTTGTTTCACCAAGAAAACAGTTTTCTAGAAACTGAGAAAGGCAGAGTTTAATCCAAGATGGAATTTGCTTGGGAAGCTTGAAAAGAGCAGGAAATGAAAGACGAGTGTTTCCAAGAGCCTTCTGGCCTACTGTTTAAAAAAAAAAAAAAAAAAAAAATTGAGTGCATATTTTCATTGTTGGTCTCCTTGTAGAGGCAGCACAGTGATCTTTCTATATTTTATATGTAATGCATATTAATATGTAGTATTTTCATAAATTTTTATATAGAACATATATGTTCTATCTCTTTATACATTCTATAGCATATATTAAAAAACGTATATTGAAATCAAATTGAAAACCCACAAGCAGGACTTCAGATAAAGATGCTTTCTGCATATGCTTTGGGATACTGACATGGCAGTAGGTGACTAGGGTGGGATGGTTTCTCTGGATGTGGCACAGCATGGACTTACTGAACTGCATAATGCTTTACTGCATAGAATCATTTCGATTGGAAAGACCCTTAAGATCATGGAGTCCAACCGTTAACCCAGCATTGCCAAGCCCACCGCTAAACCATGTCCCGAAGCATCACATCTACATGTCTTTTAGTAAATATCTCCGGGGATGGTGAATCAACCATTTCCCTGGGCAGCCTGTTCCAGGGCTTCACAACCCTTTTGGTGAAGAAATTCTTCCTAACGTCCAATCTAAACCTCTCCTGGCGCAACTTGAGGCTGTTTCCTCTTGTTCTATCACTTGTTATTTGGGAGAAGAGACCAATGCCCACCTCGCTACAGCCTCCTTTCAGGCAGTTGTAGAGAGCGATAAGGTCTCCCCTCAGCCTCCCCTTCTCCAGGCTGAACAATCCCAGTTCCCTCAGCCGCTCCTCCCCAGACCTGTTCTCCAGACCCTTCACCAGCTTCGTTGCCCTTCTCTGGACACGCTCCAGCACCTCAGTGTCTGTCTCGCAGTGAGGGGCCCAAAACCATGCACAGCATTTGAGATGCGGCCTCACCAGTGCTCAGTGCGGGGGCAGGATCACTTCCCTTTCCTTTCAGTTATCAGTGCACATGGAGACAGTGTTACCTACTGTGTGCAGTGCATACCACACACTTAGTAGCTTGTTCCTGTGTCACAGTAGTTGGGTGGTGTCGTGGTTTAGGCCCAGCCAGCAGCAAAGCACCATGCAGATACTCACTCATTCCTCCCTGCCTGGGGGATGTGGAGGAGAATTGGAAGAAAAGGGTAAAACCTTGTGGGTGGAGATAAGGACAGTTTAACAAAACAAGGAGAGAAGAAACAATAGCAACAAAACTCATAAAAGAATATGTAAAGCGAGTGGTGGGCAATGCAATTGCTCACCAGCCAGAACCTGAGGCTCAGCCCCTTGAACTCTCCTTCCTTTGCCAGCTCCCCCAGTAACATCCTGAGCATGACACTCTATGGTATCCAGTATCCCCTTGGCTAGTTGGTCAGCTATCCTGGCTGTGCCCACTCCCAGCTTCTTGTGAAAAATTAATCCTATCCTAGCTGAACCTAGGACAGTTGGGAACCTTTCCCTGCATTTGCAAGTGTTAGAATTGCAATTTGCCATGTGCCTCACCTTAATTTGCTTTGAACTTCACCTGCTTTTTTACTAGCCAGTGCTGTAAATGCCTTCTGTAATTCTTCATGGCTAGCCTTTGCACCTCAATGCTGGTTAATTTTGCTGTCAGAAAACTTTAATCATCTTCCCCTCTTTTTCTGCATCAAGTAGGAATATAAGGACACAGGCCAAGGCATAGAACCCTGCCTGGTCTCTGATGGTAAAAACTGACCACTTACCTGTGTTCAGATTTTAACCAGTTATTTATTCTTGAGAATGCTTTCCTTGTTATTCTACAGCTCAAGCCATGAGTTTTGAAGGATTGTAGCAATCCAAATGTTTTTAGCAAGTGTTTTGTGATGAGCAACACTCGTGAGTCACACCTGTGGTTCTGCTGGGTGTTGGCCTCTCCTGTAGTGGATTTGGTGAAGCTTTGCTGTGTATGTTTAGAATATTGTTATTGTTCTCTTGATTTAGGTACCATGATGTATTTTACTTATGAAAACTGTTGGAGATGGAAAGATTTGGAGAATGAATTCTTGCAGTTTTCCAGACGAGTTCATTCTTAATGTGCTTAGAACTTTATTAAAAGATCTGCAGAGAGTCTCACAAATGCATTTATTATCTCTAATTGTATTTACATTTTTCAATTGCACTCTTAGTAGTCCTCTTAGCAATTTTGTACATATGTAATGGAATATATTGTGTGTATGTATTCATTCAGCACCTTCTACCATGAGAATACAAACATAAGTGGACATTTACAGATGGAGAAAATATCATTCCTATAGCAAATGTGATCTTATTCCAACACTGTCTTTTAGAATTATCTTCTGCCTCTATTTCTGAGCTCATACTGCCAGCAGTCTTTTATTTTAATCGATGGTGTATCACTGTTTCCCTGAGGTCCTGGAGACATTTATTGGAGTGGTTCTGGTTTAGGATGGTTCCTCTTGTGTTTTAGGATTGTTTAAAAGAGGTGCTGGAGATTGTGGAGCTGGGCATTTCGGGAAGTAAATCCAAAAACAGTGAACAAGAGGTCAAGTACAAAGGAGATAAGGAGCCAAACCCTGCATCCATGAGAGTGAAGGATGCTGCTGAAGCTACACTAACGTGGTATGTAATTTGCCAGAGCATGTTTACTCTTTCGCATTGCCTTGTCTGAGAGTGTTTTAATTAGGAATTCCCAGCTGGTGAGATCTCAGCAGCAAGAGCATTTGAAAAGTCATCCAGAAACTCCCTCTGTTTTGCTCTTTGGGCAGGGTTGTGCTGTGCTCTGCCTTAGCTGTCTTCCCCCTCCCATTACAGGGGTTCAAGGGAAAAAAGATCCCTGTGATTGCTGTCTTCCCCTCCTGCCTGCTCTCTTCTTTGCAGAGCAAAAGCCAAGCCTTCCTCCAGCCCCTGGTGTTCTGTTCTCAGCCAGTGCCCTCTGCAGACAGCAGTTCCCTCCATCTCCCACTTGACCTGGTGATCCTATCTTTCCATTCCCCCTTCTCCTTATCCTCAGCCTGGCAACACAGGCCATCCCCACACTGACCGGGAAACCGATAGACACTGTCTCACGTGTAATGCAGCAGGGAATGGCCCGTGGAGGAGATGTAAGCTGGTGCGGGGTGGGATGTCGTTCCACCCACAGCCTTGGGCTTCCTTAATATATTTGGGAGGTTCTGCTGGGAGTGCAGTAGCAGATAATGTGTGGGTTGGGGACGGGAAGCACAGAGGAGAATTGAGATCTGCTCCAGACAAGTGGAAAAGTGCTTTTACTGGGTGAACAATGTGATGGTAGACTGGACAGATTGAGGATGGGTAGGATAAATATTTTTTGCAAAAGGCAATAGCTGCTTTGTTTTTTGCTCTGCTTCACAATAAAAATCAATGCAAACTTTGCTGTTAGTAAAACCAACTGTGTGATTTCCAAGGTAAAAAGAACTACTTGTTGGAACTTGTGGACAAACCTTTATTATTGCATAAAAGTGCCCATCTTCATTTAGAGAGATGAAACTACCTGTTCTGAGAATAAAGTGGAAAAGTGTCTGAGGAGGACTTCAGTTAATTTACCTTTGGTCTGGGTGGTGGTGGTAAGAGTAAAGTCCCGAGTTAGATCATAAGATCTTCCGTCTGACACTGGTCAACTCTCTCTATTGGTTCCTGCCATAGAAATTTTCAGGGTAGATTCTGTACAACTTCAGATGATTTAAAGTTGTACTTCTAGGAGCCTCCCAAGGCTGTGGCTCCAAGGAGGTCAGCACTGTTGGATCATACCTGGAGGCTTTCTCCCGGGGAAGGTTATCATCTATGATAGCTGTGCTTGTGTGATCCTGGGCCTTTCTTAAAGGGTTTTAAGTTAACGTAATCTGTACTTGAAGAAAGCAAAGACAATCATAACTGGTGCATCTACCATGTCTGCCTTGTTTGTTGATATAATGCTTTAAAGCATATCTTACTATCTCTACAACCTAGGTTAGAAAGAAACTGATTCTGTAGGCAGAGGACCCTTCTTTGTAGATTTTCATGTATGATTTCCTGAAGTTACTGGTTCTGTTTTAAGAAAGTCTGATGGGGGAGGGCAGGCTTGCCCTGATAGGGTAACTGCTGTGTCTAGATACAAATGAAGAATATGAGTGAAGGTCTGTGCTTGGGTGGAACAGTTCGTCATCTTAATCTGACGTAACTTTTTTTCTCACTTGCAGTATTATGCAGTTACTTGGAGCTTTTCCTTCTCCCAGTGGCCCTGCTTCTCCTTGCAGCTTGGTGAATGAAACCACGTTAATTAAATATTCTCGTCTACCTACCATAAACAAGCATAGCTTCCGTTACTTTGTGTTGGATAACAGTGTCATCCTGGCGATGTTGGAGCAGCCTCTAGGGAATGAACAGAGTAAGTTCTTACTTCCCATTTCCTCCTTCCTCTGGTAAAGCTCTCTGTATGGAGCTGCAGACCAAAGGCACTTCATCAAGTGTGTGTCTCACAATTCAGGGGTTTACCTGTTCCGTGGGTGTGCAATTGAGCATTGTGTTGTTCTGGGATGAAGCAATGCGAATAACTTCAATCCCACTGATAGTCACACATGTACAAGCCCATCCAAATTGTTCATGTGGTGTGTCTTTCACCCAGTTAGATCAGATACGTGCAGCTGACTGCCATCTAAATTATTGCTGATGGACAAAAGCAATAGCATTATATTTTGAAAACATCCTTGTTCATAAAAGAGTAAAAATATAAAGAGTATAGGAGGCTTGATAGGGATAAGTGCTCAACAGGTGTTTGATGTGACACCTTTATGCGTGCACAGTTGCTTTTGCTTGCTTTATATCTCCTGTTACTAAATGTTTTTGTGGGTGCTTTTGGCTCAGAAGGTTTTAGTTGCTTGGGAGCTGTTACAACTTTCCCATGTACCATCCTGTTCTATCAGTGACGCTACTGTAAAGGAGATCCGTCACAGGGTATTGGTTTTCACAGCTGAAACGTAACTCATTTCAGTCTCATATGCTTTGACCAACAAGAATTTATATTAAACAAGGTGGTATTAAATTACGTGATGCTTTGAACTGAATAACTGATCCTCTGGTAAGTCTTCGTGTATCATGGCATTATCTAACAGAAGAGATGAAAATTCTTTTACGAGCTACCTCAGTTTAAGACTAATTTGCATTAGATCTGCTGGTCTGCCACAGATGCATTTTCCTCATCTGTGGACAGGTTGGAGTCTGGATACTAGTGTTGAAAATAGAGATTGCACAGAACTTCATGAACTGGCTAAGAGAAGTTGTTATTTTGAGTTGTTGTCTAGAGTGCTTCAACCTTATTGAGAATCACTAAATAGATCTTGCAGAAAGTGCTGATGCTGGGAGCCTTGCTGCACATCCACCCACAGTCTGTGTTTGAGCAAGCATGTTCCTGACTAGAATGGATTAGGGCACGCTAGAATGGCTGAGCAATTCTCATCCTTACTCTGCCTCTGCTAAATGCATTACTGAGGAATCCTGTAAAGCTATTAGAATCTCAGATTAGATTATCTTTTCTTGCTGTGCATAACTTGCTTACAAATCCCTTTTGAATTACAAGATTAATTGCAGTAATGCACGAGTACATCAGATCACTTCTGAGGCAGGTCACTGAAGTTGGGTGATTGCGGGGAGCTGGGTTGGTTTGTCTGTATGTGTACTCATGTAGCTGTGCTGCACCCTGTACTTCCCATGAGATAGTAGGGAAGGAATAAATATCTGCTAGTTATCTGATGGTGTCAATTTGTGGTTTACGTGCACGAAAGTTAAATATAAAAATTTTAAAAAGTAGCTGTAGAGGTACAATGATCCCTCTTCTAAGGTGGCTGATATCAGTGGCCTTTTAAGTCTCGAAGGAAGACTGAAATCCCTGCAGTGTTAGAACCATCATTGTGCAAGTTGAAAGGCACCTCAGGAATCTGCAATGTAAACTCCTGCTCTAAACAAGCGCCAATACTGAATTGAGACCAGGACAATGCAACCTGACGTCCAAGTGGGTCTTGAAAACCTATGAGGACGACTTCTCTGTGTCCCCATTCCTTGTGGTGAAAAATGTTCTGCGATGTGAAGTCAGAATCTTCCCCTGTCTGAGTTTGACCATTAGCTCTTGTTCTTCTGCTGTTCTTATTGCTGCTGTTTGTGTGGGACCTTTACAGAAGGTCATGGAAATATCATGGAAGCTGTGTCTCCATATGGTCATTTGTCTTACCTAAACAGGCAGTGACTGCACAATCTTTTTTTTTTTTTCTTCATTTCCTGGAGATAATTTGTAGTAAAACAGTGATCTGCATGCATTTGGATAAAAGTTACTTTTAGCGATGAAACTGAGCTGGCGACTACTGAACAGACCGCAAAGTAGACTAGTACTTGTCTGCTGCAGAGAGGAGGGTCGCTTGCGCCTCACCAGGAATTGTCTTTATGGTCAGGGAGGAGTTAACCTTGAAAACAAAACCTCTGTCATCATGCCTGCATTTCTTTCTGGTGAAATTATTGCACAGTGAACTGTTTGCAATTTATGATGTTG